GCGTCGTCGCCATGTAAGGACGCTGCCTTCCAGGCAACGTTTGCATTAGCTATTGCTCACCTAATTGTTAGTGGGATTTTCACAAAATGTGATACTTCACGGCTCCGATCTCTAATCAAAATTCGGCAACTTTGGCTGCACGTTCACGAGTGTAGATGTCAAGCCGCCCAAATGCAAGTGCTAATAACTGTAGTTGAGAACAATATGATACCCATAACCAATTCAGCGCCTACTGTGGTTCCCTTTGGTTGGCAGCGCTGAGCTCCATTTCGTCGATGGCGAAGAAACTCGGCCACAAAGACGCTGAACAACAGTTTGAGGATATGCTGGATAGAGCAAAAACTGTTTTCGTCAAGAAACTTTGGAACGGAAAGTAAGGTTTCAAGTTAATTGCGTTCAATGCTTTTTCTGATAGATCCGTGTTAAGGTACTTCAATTTTGACGAATCATCCTCCGATCAAAGCGTTATAATGGCAGATCAATTATGTGGCCAATGGTTCCAAACGCTAATGAATGGTGAAGATCTCATTTCTGAACCTCAGGTTTGTAACATTACCTTGCAGAACTTCTGGCAAGTAAATCGTTTGAACAATTTTCGTTTTGGTTTCACGATTCAAAACACAGGATTTTTCAAAATGGATTCAGTTTTTTAAACATACCGCAGGGTACTACTGCCAGCTCGACAACCACTCCCACATTTCGTGGCCCTAACTTTTTGGATTTTCTTCCACAACTTCGCCTTGTGTGACCTGCTCCTTCGTATGTATATAATAAATGAAAAGGATTGGGAAACTAATCACTACTTTTCAAGGAATTATTGCAAATCACGAATTTCCATAACTTTCAGTGTCATTGTTCTCACACCCACGCTTCACACATCGACAACTCAGATCGGAACTCAATTATACACCTGGCACTCCTAGTTCCGTCCCCTAAGCAATGGCCTTGCGTTTTCCTGCGAAATTTTTTGTTTTCTATCACGTTTCTCACTTTTTTAGACTGCAACAGGTAGCGCCGCCCACTATGAGTAGCGCCGTCGAAGATTAGGATCTCGGTCATCACTTGAGCGGAAAACTATATAAGGTTTATATCGAGTAAAGACACTGAAATTGCAAACTGTTATTTTGTTCGACTTTCAAAAGTGGTCGAGACTTCTTCCAGTTGGACGGCGCTTTTCACCGTAGTCGGGCTATCCGTTATTCTTGCGGCCTAAAGACGAATCGTTCAGAAGAGATGTATATTTTGCGAAAAGACGCGAAAGTGGGCGTTGCTGGAGAGGCGGGGCTTAGAGTTCTTTGAGTGCGATATGGTTCATTAGCTGTCTAGGGTGAAGAATATGTTCAAATTGCTTTGTAAAGCCGCGTGAAACAAAAATGGTATAATCTGCTGAGATTGAACCAGCGTACCTAAATCTTTCATTCTAGATCATGTCCACTTTGGAGACCATCTACTCACACAACGTCAAGATGTTTGCATCGGGAACTATGGGCCCTGTGAACGGAATGTTGTACGTTTTGGTTTCTTTCGTGCAAGCAATTTGAAGTCAACTTTCTCCAAAAGCACTGATGTTGTGCCTGTTTAAGTGCTTAGGTAGATGAGAAGGCCGCATGAGAGTATCAGCCATCTCTACCCATTTGCCTGTTTTCTAATTTGAAAGTTGAGAGAAGGGAGTTTTGGGAGGTTGCGAAGGAAAGACAAAGGCGTTGCCATAAATGTTCTCCCTGCCTCGTCAACTGCCTTAGCTCACCTTAGGTTGCGTTCATACTTTGCGTCTTGACGTTTTGGAGATCTAGCGTTTTGACGGTCGACCGTTTTGCGCCAAAAGGATAGTGAAGCATTGATTGGCGCCCAAAACACCAATCACCTCGAAGCGCTGATTCTCCTAGAACGCTAGCGATTTTTTGCCTGATACCTGACACGAGAGTAGGTAACGCTGTGGCTCACAACGCTGGTTCTCCTACCCATAAGAGCCGACTCGCAAAGTATGAATGCAACCAAACGTAAGACCAAACGTGAGACGCATGAAGTAAAATTATTTGATTGTGAAGGTGTTTAGCCTTTTGTTCTCATTGTATGGAAGAATTTAGCGAAAATGGGAAGGTTGATTATTCGAGTATGCAGAGCGAGGAAGTATGGACAGGAACGGGATACAGTGTTGCTTCGTTCATGATAGCAAAGGTTTGTCCCGAAGAGATAGCTTTGCACTTTGCTCTTTTTACAAGTTTTGGGAGTACTGGTAATTGATTGTGTGTGAGTGGGGCGTGAACTGAGTGCAGCCGGCTAGTCATTGGTTGAACAGATAAGTTAGTTTTTTTGTGGGAAATGCTGTGCTGGCTGCGCTCCAATCCGCGCCCCTTCACACGCCCTCTCATTTGTTGAGAGCATGTTTACATAGTGTATTCAGTGAAATTTACTCGGGTCCTGAAGAAAGTTTTTACAGAAACTGCGAAATTATGGCTTCGATACGGCTCGAGGAGTCTACGAGATGTGCTGGAATCGAGCAGGACTTCAGTACCAAACCCCCGAAGCAGTATTCGAGAGGAAGCATTACCGGGCCATTGGTTACATGCGACCGTTAGCCATCTGGGCAATGCACCATGTCCTCGAGATGAAGATACCGATGAACCTCCTGCTCAGTTACGAGAGCTATTTGGACCTTGCGTGTTATCTCACTTTTTATCTAAACACTCGTACAAAGTGCATCATAGTAGTTATGTATTATATTGTGTGTGTAAAGCAGGTTAGACTAATTAATTCACTGAATTATGACTATTATATTTATTTCAAAGATATTATATAGATATATGCTCTGCCTTGCAAGCTCAGTAAATGAACTTGATTCGTGCCAAGTTTCTGTATATACGGATATTTTTGTTATTTGTAAAGTATGCATTTGCAGACGTATTTGACGGGATAAAGTCACGACAAATTCAAGTTTGCTGGGCGGGGCGAATCGAACGCGAGCGTCGCCTGGATCTAAGCTAGCGTGTCGAGCTAAATTACTTGTGTGCTCCACCGTTTTTCTCGTGAAGAGTCGAGTTTCATTCTTGTTCACTGCACACGCAGGGCGTTTTGGGGGCTGGGCTTGGCGTGGTGCGTGCCTAGGCTCCACTAATGGTTGAAGCTGGTAAGCGACTGCGATCGACGGAGAACAGGTAGGCCCCGCGCCAAACGCTGCTCAGAAACATCCCAGCGTCCGTGGCGAACAGAACTACATCCATTGCACTTGTATGTATTTCAGCTTTCTAGTCGGTCAAATTTGCCGGCTCGGGTATAGGTGCAGTCGGTTTCGCTACGCTGGGTTTGGCGCGCTCTCCAGTCCGTTGTCAATCGCGACGTCACTTGCGCGCTTCAGAATTGGTGGGGAATGGGCTGGCGCCGCACCAAACCCAGCCTCTGACACGCTTCAGCGTCTGCAGCGAAAACGATTGCACGAATACGTTAAAGTGCAGTGGCAAGGGTGCTTTCCATCCTAGCTAGGATTTTTTAAACGGGGCGACAGAGGCCCGATTGCTAGCTGCTGGAGAGAGGTGCTCGAAAAGTTTGAGACAGTTTCTGGTCCTTAAGGCAGTGTACTGGGTTAGGTGAAAGATCTGAAACCCTTCGAAACCTGTCGACATCGTACATTGGAATTCCCGACTACCGTATGGTGGTCGGTCGCCGGAGGGAGCAGAGGAGGCGTGTTTGCTTCCGAGAAAAAATGTTTTCGGTTGACTTTTCTTGGTTTTTGCCGTCTCTTTGGCACTATACATCCCTCTCGATATTTTTTTTTGAAAAAAACCGGGAGCAGTGGTACGAATTAAGAAAATTTGAGAAGAATGGTAATTGAGTGGGGAGAGGAGGTGGGACGCACTAGATTGGAAAACTTGGGAGAGGAAGATGGGAGGAGGTCGTATTTTGCAAAAAATTCCCTGACGGCGGGACGTACCCTATTCAAAGATGCCTTTATCAGGCGCCTGAAACACCACCATCCATTCGTTGACCATAAACTTAGCGACAGCCGTTCGACAACCATTGAGCAAACCCCTATTTCGATTAAAAGGGTACATTCCCGTGATAGGTACTAATGATCGTGGCTGATTTCTTCCTTTTTTTTTGCTCAAGTTCGGACAATTTCCGGCAAACAGTGACTCAGTGCGAGAGCAGGGTCATTGATGTGAACGATGAACGTAAGCGCTGACATTTTTCCTTTTCTGTTTGGCCAACGAGCTTAATTGGTGAAACTATCAATTGATGGTCTGACTTCTCGACTGGGTCATCGTCTTCAGGGGCGCGGTCCACCAGCGCATGAGTGGAACAGCACCGCTCTGTGGTTTGTAAGTTACAACTAACACAGTGAGTCGGCATTCCATCCATGCGTCGGTAGAGGCTGAGCTTCTGGGTATGAGGATCCAATCGGAACGTCAGGCCGTCAATAAATAATTATACGCGAACTACCTCGGTGGCACACCAAAAAAGGAAGAATATCAAAGTCCGCAGCAATGTTGTCGCGGAACGCGACTGTTGCCCCGGGCTCGCCGAGCGCCTGAGCTCTGTCGCGCCCTACGGCCAAACTATGCGCTGCTCCGCGTCAACCAATAGGCGCGGGCCACGTGATGTCCCGCTGCGTGCTGCTATATAAAGCGGCCGGCGAGAGACTCCGCGCAGCGTTGCTCTCTTGGCACCCTTCCCTGCGGGGAGGAGAATACTCCTTCTCCTGCCTGTAGAGAAGGTCAATGTCAGGCTCACGT